AGTAAACATAAGAACTTTTGCATAGTCTTCTTTATTGAAATCTACCTTATTCAACAATCTCATGTATTCATATTGCTACAGCTTAGTATGACTGAGCGTTTTGAATTTCGATTTGTTGAATCTGTATTCTATCTTGTTTGAGTCAAAATAATCTTTGTCTTTTACAAATATCAATGTTGTATAACTTATTTGTATCCATGTTATCATCAATGGATTGATCAAGTAAACATGGATTCAATTCATTAATTTCTCACCTTCCGTAATTGAAATTAAATGTGAACTAATAAGGATACTATTTCACATGAGATTTATGTTACATTATGGAATAACTCGTGTTTTTTTTACTGTTTAAATGAAACAATAGTCTAGCAAATCATATAGATCTTATTGAGCCCTTACATACTTATTCATCATGGCAACAACAGTTATTCTAATGGTTTAATTTTTTTTTCAATTTACATAAATTATGGCCACAAGTTTTTTTTGTAACCAATGTATCAATTCCCTTTTTTGTTTATCTGTACATAAGCAGTCCCATCGGATAGGTTCTAAATTTTTTACATAGAAACTAACTAATCTCATTTATTATCATGTATACACTGTTAGGTAAATTAGATTAAAGTTGACTGATTATTTTGTCGCATAGGGTTTTATAGTTTCATGTTTAACTCCTTTTTATAGTTTTTATCATGGACTAACTTAAGTTAGATAACCATTGAAAACTGAGAAACACTATAGATTTGTTTTGTCCCTATATGTAACTCCTTAACACTGCACATATACCTACTTCACTGGGAATCGAAGCCAGAACGTTCAAGTCTAGTGATAAACGTTTAACCTTTTATATCACTCAGCTGGTATGTAATGATTTATATGTCTAACTCTTATAAATTTACAATATTTCAGTTTGGTCCACTTGATGTTGTTTGGCTGACACTAGTTATCAAATCAAGTATGTACATTGTTAGCTGCTTGTCTAGTAGTTCAAAAAGAAGCTTTGTATAAAATTTTTGTAGCGATGTTATTGTTTAGAAAAATAATAAAAGTATCATGACAAAATGAAAGTCAACACCACCCCCTGAAGCCACAAACGGTATTTACCATTCAACGTAGACGCTAAAATGTAGCCTTCTATTAATTAATACTTCAAAACAGACAACAACAGATAATCATATTCAATATACAATGATACGTTTATTTTTCTCAGTATAATGAGATATGAAATGAAAATAGATAACTGAATTTGTCAATCACCGTTATCATAATTATGCAAATGATCATCATAATTATGGTATCCATTAGTATTTGATTAGTCTAATATAGTCATTCATTGCGTGTAACTAAAAGAAGCAAATTGGAAAATGGAAAAAAACCTGTCTAAATGTCTATGATGATTAAGAGAAATTTTAATTGTTTGGTAAATATATGCCAATGGAAGGATAAAAAAGATTGCATCATTCGAGAACACAATTATAAAATAGGGCTACGCAATAATCAGGAGGTTAGAGAAGAATTTAAGAATGAAAATAATTTACAGGTCAAAATTATGAAATATAATTGTCCAATTGACAAATATGAAAAAAGACAAAAAACAACTCAAGGGTCAGAATAATAATCATGAAAAATTATTAAAGGATAATAATAACTGATCACGGTTTAAAACTACAAAACAATAATTTAAAAAATGCATACTAAAACATACTACAGAGAGGAATTAGGACCAAGGAAGGATGAGAGGTTGGACGTATCGTTTTCGCATGCAGAGTTCGAGCTCGAATTGTTGGATCGCCAATGTCTCATCAGTGCATAATATTTTGATTCGACCTCCCTTCGATCCAGTTGCTCTGATTGTGTAGATTATTTTAGAAGACTCCTTCGAAGTGATATGTCCATAGTTGGTTAAACACTGCTGTATTGAACTGGCAATCGTTTTGGATTCTCCTTTTAAAAGCCATGTTGGGTAATGTTCCGAATTGCGTTTAGAAAGTGATCTCTGTGTGGCCAATATAACTTGTCCCACAGGTCACAAATCACATCAATAGATATAACTCTCGATTCATTTGACTTTCACTACTCAATTAAAAATATCAATGTAAATGGTGGGGAAACGATCTGATTGGATATCGCTTGACGGCTTGTGAAATCTCAGCTAACCATTTGGAAATCAAATGATATGTAGAGTTATTCATATCAAGTATAGGACGTAGTGAGATATTCTTCTATGATGGAGTTGCAATGATTTCACTATTGGGCGCCCTCTTGCCTGATTGTTTCATGGCCAATCTGGAAAGTATGGTACTTCGATCAATAATTAAGAGATTCCACTTATATAAGTCATATATGAATGATAACTTCATTATTTGTGAAGAAGATATAGACCTCAATGAACTTTTGAATCGTTTCATTAATTATCATCACTCAATTTATTTCACTTTGGAAGCAGAGGCGAACGAGGAATTTCATTTTTCTTAATGTACAGTTGAAAAGAAGGCCAGATAGTTTTTTACAAAGATCTACATATAAAAAACTGACCCGGAACGGGCAGTATACGAATTTCCATAGCTGGGTGCTACTGACTAGAAAGAGAAATTTAATTCACACTTTATCCTCAAGGATTAGGTGAATACGTTCTAATGACACACTAGATGACGAACTATGTCAACTTCAACAGATACTCATCAGAAATGGTTATCCACCAAGATTCGTCGATAGGAACTTAACACCTACACAACATCCGGAAAAAAACACCAACAATTCAAAAGAAAACTCTTTTTATGAACACCGAATATAAAGGAGAAACGGCTGCTGAAATCTTGAATAAACGGATCTCAAAATGCCTGAATAAAACTTTCTGCTTAGCTAAGCTCCGCATTGTTTTCTTAAGCTGACCTACCATTCACGGATGTGTCAAGGATAAATTTCCGCTTTGGGCCACATCAATGTGCATCTTTGAATTTACTTATGAGCAGGAATAGAATCGTCAACAGAGTTCATCATTTCATTCATTCTCTGTGTTCGATCATCGTTGTCTCCGAAGGATTGCTGACATCCAGTGGCAACACCATGTTAGTACTGCAGAGGTTCGGCATCGTGTGTTCGGGCACAGAGACGATAATTCAATCGGTGTCACCATCTTGAAACACCGACTTCGGTGGCTTGGACATGTTTTACGAATGTCGTCCCAGAGACTTCCACGTCGTGCATTATTTGCCGACCCTGGGACTGGTTGGAGAAAGCGGAGAGGAGGTCAGTGTATGACATGGTGTCGTGGCATGAAAGAGAGCTGCAAAGGGCTAGCTTTTGTTGGTCCTTCACGACTCCTTGGTTGGGGTCCGAGAGATGGTGCAACACAGTGGCTAGAGACGTTATCAGATATGGCTCAGAATAGAAGCCAGTGGCGATCCTGCTGCAACCTTCTTTTACTTTCTACATAAAGTATGGTTCTTACTTTCCTATTTGAAAGTGTCTTCTGGTTGTACATTTTAGTCCGCCTTATCTTTTCATCCCTTCTCTTCCTACTTTCATTATTTTGTGTGGCGCATATGCACCTGGTGCCCTTTTGTACCAATATATATGTGTTTAAATAAATAAATAAATAAATTGAATTTACTTGCTCCTGTGGGGCAGGTTACATTGGCCGCACAAAGCAATCACTTTCTAAACGCAATTCGGAACATTACCCAACATGGCTTTTAAAAGGAGAATCCAAAACGATTGCCAGTTCAATACAGCAGTGTTTAACCAACTATGGACATATCACTTCGAAGGAGTCTTCTAAAATAATCTACACAATCAGAGCAACTGGATCGAAGGGAGGTCGAATCAAAATATTATGCACTGATGAGACATTGGCGATCCAACAATTCGAGCTCGAACTCTGCATGCGAAAACGATACGTCCAACCTCTCATCCTTCCTTGGTCCTAATTCCTCTCTGTAGTATGTTTTAGTATGCATTTTTTAAATTATTGTTTTGTAGTTTTAAACCGTGATCAGTTATTATTATCCTTTAATAATTTTTCATGATTATTATTCTGACCCTTGAGTTGTTTTTTGTCTTTTTTCATATTTGTCAATTGGACAATTATATTTCATAATTTTGACCTGTAAATTATTTTCATTCTTAAATTCTTCTCTAACCTCCTGATTATTGCGTAGCCCTATTTTATAATTGTGTTCTCGAATGATGCAATCTTTTTTATCCTTCTATGGGAAATAATTTTTCGTTAAAGAACAAAGTAATTTACGTTTCTATCTTTCCATTGATATTATGAGCTATAATTAATCCGTCACTTTTAAGATATAAATATCCTGATTAGATTACTGCGACTATTATCATAAACAGAAGTTATCTCATATGGTTTGTAAATAACTCATTGTAGAGTCAAAATGGTTGTTTCGTTCTGTTGGGGACTCGTTAATTGGGTGCAGTGTCTTTACCCCACTATTAATGTTCACACCGATATTCGAAGACCAGTGATTATCTGTACCCAGTAGATTAGTGAATAATGCTTTGGGTGTTTTAAGCGGAAGATATTACTTGATTCGAGTTACGACGTCGACAGTAATACAGAAATGAAAGTACATCCAACCGTTGCATCAGAAACAGGACGAAATGCCTGTCTATGTCTGTAATGTTGTATGAAATGAGTTCAAAAATCGGAAATCTAATTAATGTGGTCAAACTAGTGCATAACATTTTATTGAGAAGTCATTTACTATTTATATGAATACTATGTACTCTGTACCTGAGATTTTAAGGTTGAAAATTTAAAATACTGGATGCTGACGTTGAACACTGAACGAAGTTCAGGTAACCACTATCTTGAGCAGATATGTGCAGCGATGAGTTCCAAATAAAATAAAACTTTCATCCTGCATCTTACTATCAGATTATTTACAGTGAGCTGTTGTCATTGTTGGTTAAATAAGTTGAACAAATCCTGATCTGTTTAATCGTTTTGTTTGTATGTCTTTTTCTTTAAATTTTCTGTTCTCAAGATGTCCGTCACTTCTTCGTTTATTTCTACGTATATTGGAATCAAGTTTATTAGCATCCAGATCTTATTGGGCCCATAGACTTGTTGACAGAGTCCAATCTGTACGTGGAACAACCACAAATTCAACTGTATATAATACCCAATCAACAACGTCTATGCCAGCAACAATGATGATGCTTTCTCCAACAAATAGTGGAGCACCATTATCTAGTTCTTCTATTCCTAGTACTAATACTGATTTATTAAATCAAGATACATCTAGTTTAACCATAAACTATCCGAAACTTATTAGTTCTTCCAAATTAATTACTACTGATTCTGGCCAACAACAACAACAACAGGTTAACAGCATATCTACTGTTTCCCTAACAACATCATCAATAACTACCTCTCCTACATCTACATCAGTAAATACAACTGTTTCTATTTCTAATACATTATCTTCTGTACAAATATTCAATGAATCTAATACAAATATTTCTCCTTCAATTAATAATGAAGAATGTGAACGTTTATGTACAAATATGTTATTAACACAAGATTCAACTATTATTCAGTTATTACTAGAATATTGTTTACCAACAGAAGATGAAAAGGTAATCAATTTTCAATGAGTTACTTCTTCTGTCATGTCGTTCCAATTTGCTTGTTTGTTTGTTTGTTTTTTATGTAATAACAATGGACAGTTTTCATATATACGTTGATAACTACTAACAGTTGGTACTTATAGATATAGTTGAACTCTTCATGTAGACTGGTTTGATCTAATAAATTGGGGCAATAATAAGATTTAATGGAAGGTTCTAATGACAAATGATTCATTTTATGTCTTGAGAAATTTCATATTGAAACATTTTTTCGTTTTATTATTATTTTTTATTGTAAGTTTGAGTGATGATATTGATTTTCTGTGGACATCTTTCTCAATTTGGTGTATATGTACAGTAACGCCCCAACACACTGATAATGTTGACTGTATAATAAGGTTTTCTCTTTTACTAATGAACATGTTTATATGCTAATAAAGAAAAATACATTAGACACAGATCGGTATATTATTTCATGGGATACCCACTAACCTAACTCCGCCTGTAGATCTTCTGGAGTTACTCACGGTCGCAAGCCCGGGTAAAGGAGGAGGGTTGGACATGGGGTTAGCGACTCCATCTTGTAGAAAACTAACCCGCTAAAAAATCGATAACCAGAAAAAAGCAATTCAAACTATTTAAACTCTGCCCTGTGAGTTGAAGGAAGAATTATGACGCCTCAGGATGAAAGCCGAGATTCTTTGAAAGTCACGAGGCTGATGCCCCTTCTAACAACCGGAGCAACAATTTTTATGGGCACATGGAACGTCCGGACAATACGGGAGACCGGGAAGACCAGTCAAATAGTAATGGAAATGAGGGGATACAAATTGGCAGTACTCGGAATCAGCGAAACCCATTGGACACAAGCTGGACAACAAAGGCTAGGTACGAGAGAGATGCTACTATACTCCGGTCACGAACAGGAAAATGCTCCACACACTCAGGAAGTTGCTCTAATGCTGTCCAGAGGAGCACAAAATGCACTTGTAGGATGGGGATCTCATGGATCCAGAATTATCAAAGCATCATTGAGAACAAAGAAGGAGGGGATCACAATGGATGTTATTCAATGTTATGCACCCACAAATGATAGCAACGACGACGATAAAGACCAGTTCTACTCGAGGCTGAAATCATTCATAGTACGTGCTCAAGGAAGGACCTCACAATCCTGATGGGAGATCTAAACGCTAAAGTTGGAGTGGACAACACAGGATACGAAGATATAATTGGACGACATGGACTAGGAGAGAGAAGTGAAAACGGGGAGAGATTTACAAATCTATGTGCATTCAACAAATTACTTATAGGCAGCACAATATTTCCATACAAAGCTTCATAGATCTCACCGGACCACACCACAGAGAACGAGATAGATCATATTTGTATCAACAAAATATTCCGAAGGACAATGGAATATGTGAGAACCAGGGGAGGAACTGACATAGCTTCAGATTACCATCTAGTTGTGGCCAAAATGAAATCGAAACTAGAAAAACACTGGACTGTTAGGGAAACAGCATTACAAAGGTTCAATATAGCCTTCCTCCGAGGTACTAACATACTCAACGAATTCAAGATAACTCTCAACACAAAGTTCCAAGCCGTACAGGATCTACTGAAAGAACAAGAAACTACGATGGGGGACAACTGGGAAGGGACCGAAGAAGCATTAACTTCAACGTGCCAGGACGTTCTGGGTCGCAAGAAGCATCATCATGAGGAATGGATCTCTATGGAAACCCTGGACAAGATTGCAGAAAGGAAGAACAATAAAATAACAATTAACAACTGTCAAACACGAGCAGAGATAGTCAAAACACAAGCTGAGTACACAGAAGCAAACAAGCAAGTGAAGAAGAGGATTAAAGTCGACAAGCAGAAATACGTAGAAGAACTGGCAACGACGGTGGAAAAAGCTACAAGAGAAGGGAATATGAAACAACCATATGGTACAACGAAGAAACTAGCAGGGAGATATAGTAAACCGGAGAGACCCGTCAAGGACAAAGAAGGAAAGACAATCACGGAGATTCGAGAACAAAGGAAAGGATGGGTAGAATACTTCAAGGAACTGATGAATGGACTAGCCCCAATGCTCTTCACACAAGACAAAATATTGTTCGTAGCTTCATGAACGGATGCAGGAGTTTGCAAAGCGGTCCAGAATTCGGCGATTGGCATTGGGTTCTCTCAAGTGCATTGTGATGGACACTGGCTACCAAGGCACAGATACATACACAGTCAGCAATGCTGATCTACGCCATTTTCAGTAAACTAATGATCTAGAGGTCATTATCAGTCAGGGGTTGAAAACCACAGAACTATTATATGATGGCTGCTAAAAGTTTTCAAATGCATCCGGACGTCAATTATCTACAACTCATTGAGATATCAAAGAAGGTCTAAAGAGCTGTAAATAAACTGATTTTCGGAATCACAAAGTCTTCGCATGGTGGGAGTGAAGGTAAACTAAATATATTCCCGAATGTCAAATGGAAGGAACTAGGATAACTTAACAATGCACTTCAAACTGCTTAATAATATGTTCACATTTGACAAGCTTCACTCTCTTGTGTATTAAATCTTTAGGTCAAAGGTTCAAGGAGTTTCCCCTTAAAAAACCACCTGCTTCGGTTTGGGCGCCCGGGCAGTATCCCAGCCGTCACACAAATCAAATGATATATGAGGTGCACATATATTTGGTGCCTCTTTATGCCAATGTTTATGTGTTCAAATAAATAATAAATAAGTTGAATACTGATAATTGTTTATTTGTTATTCTGATTCCCAGTATGTTTACTTGTTTATTTTTCCTACTCTCCTTTCTTTTATTATTTAGAAACTTGAATCAGAAATTAGTATTCTTCGTGAAATACGTATTACAATTTGTACATTTATACATTCATTATTCATCGCCCAACCTGTACTCGCAGAGATTATTGTTTGGCAAGTGAGTAGGTTGGTTGTTTTTTTTAAGGAATTGTTTATACATAAACATTTATGTGCGTGTGTGTGTGAGAGAGAGAGTACATATGTGTATAAATAAATATTTTCCTTGTGGAAATTATTTTGACATTTGTCTTATACACTGTATGGTTTAATTTGTGTTGAAGGCACCAGGGGGCTCCGGGTGTGGCCCCCTAAGAAAACCACCTGCTTCAGTCTGGGCACCTGGTCAGTATCACAGCACTCACCCAAATCAAATGAGATTTGTGAGGCGCATATTTATCTGGTGCTTTTTGTACCAATATTTGTGTGTTTAAATAAATATAATTTGTGTTGCAAGTAATATTCATAGATAATTTATCATATGCTATGGAAACTGATTGAAAACCTACTCATAAACTTGTGGTATGGCAACTCGGACTGATGTACGTACGTACGAAGTTCCATGTTGTGACTGACCGACTGACATAAACTTGTTACACTTGAAACACATTTGATTCTTTATTTATATGTACATTTTTAATCCCTTTTCTATACACTCAAAGAAGTCAACATCATAATTCTAACTGATATTGAGTTGTTTGTCTAAATGAGTTAATTACATACAGGAAAATTTATTGTTCAATATGCAAAGTCATTTTGGTGAATATCTATTGTTTATTATCGGATTTCATCTATATCTTAGTTGATAAACAACCTTATCACAAATTCAATTGTTAGAATCTGGCACGTATGTGTCAGTATCTACAATGTCTAATCTTTTCTGTTATCACTAACACTGTTACTACGTCTGTGCTAATGGAGTGTGGGGACTTGAATCTACGTATTCATGTGTCAGGTTTCACATTACATACAACTGACTGAAATATGTTTATCGGTTCAAGCTGTTACAGTATATCACCACAGCGAGATAAAATTATTAAGACAAATAGTGTCGGAGTGGTAAATGTAGTAATAGCATCTGTTTTAATAGAAAAGATTAGACATGGATGATTTGATACTACAATTAATAGGGAGTTTGTTAAACAGAGAAACATAAGATAACTTTAAAAATTCAGGATCTAAGAGAATACAGAATGAACGTATCTGTATCATTGTGATGGATCGTGAGCCATATCATCAAATAAATAGTGATTATTTGTTGATTGTTATGTGTCCCTAATATTTTGTTGTCTTTCATCTCTCAATTATGTCAATATATCTCTATAGTAATGCGCTTCTATTTACACACCATGATAAAGATTTTTGTGTGCATTTCGGGTGATATGCCACAGAAATCATTCGTAATGTCACAAACACTTTCACTCTTTATCTTCCTCTTGGGTTTAAATTCCATTATCCCCTCATACATGTCTTTCAACTATATCTTCTCAAACCATATTTTCGCTGTTTAGTCTTTCTCCTCATCGTTGCTACTACGTTAATTCGATTTCTTTCATTATTTTCATCTCGTATGAATACGTTGCGCCCCCAAATGTCCCGGTACGGCTGAGAGTGGGGAAAGTCCTCTCTCCTTCTCGAAATGCTCTCACATGGCCAGCGAATATATAGCCTCTGCCAGGAAAGTCCTACTCACTGACTTCTCGTGGCGGGGGTGTTGTTTACGAAAGTGAGAGGACGAAAAGCGAATGTCCGGCGCTTTAACCGGGTTGGTGGATGTGGAGGGTCCACCTAGGGGAGTTGGAAAACCCTGATTACAAACCAATGGTGCACATGGGCTCCAGTATCCTGAAGGAACAAATGGCGTAAGAACCAACCGTTGGTCACCGGCTACCATAGGACTGCATCTCCTCACGGTGCTCCACTGCCTTGTGGATCAGATCTTTCGGTCAAAGGCTCCGGGTGTGGCCCTCTAAGAAAACCACCTGCTTCAGTTTGGGCACCTGGGCAGTATCACAGCCCTCATACAAATCGAATGAGATTTGTATGGCGCATATGTATTTGGTGTTTCCTTGTACCAATATTTATGTGTTTAGATAAATAAATAAATGATAAATACGTTACGATAGCTTGGGCCAGTGCATTTCTGTCAGACTCTGTTTTAATGATGTCTGTTTGTGTGACCACTTTGTATTAATAAAACAGGAGAATGGATTAATTTCGTAGTCATCTCATAACATGAAGGAAATGCGGATGAAATTTCTGGAGAAACTCAGACTACACTACGTACCAAAAAATCAGTAATATAAAATATTAAGCATCGAAAATACGATTCAAGGAAATATAAATTATCGAAATTTAAAAAATATGGGGAATTCTAAAACTTAGACTTTGAGGGAAAATAAAGAATGGATGCACATACGTCATTGAAAACGATGTTGAGCCATGTCATTCAAAGTCTTTAACCAATGGTTGCAATGATCACACGAACACCAACCAGGTAGTTTACCTCTATTAACATGGCTAAGTCCGATTGTCAGTGATTTCATGGACTGATGTTATGCTTTGGTTTGGCCGCCCCTAGCTTTATCCCGGTCTACCTTTACAACAGAAAAGGATGAAGCGAATCGCCGCGCAGTAAAGTCATTTTTTGGTTGGAAGAGGGATACTTTACCTATTCCGCAAGTGATGTAAGTTGATAAGAGCTAACTGAGCCTTCTCGCTCCATGCCTAGATTTCATCAGACATCAAACCATCAGGACTGACGAGACTCTCATGTGTAGCAGTAGATGCATCCAACTACTTCACTTCCTTCTGCGTTCGAGGGATTGAAATATCATCTAGGACCGAATAACGGAACGAAAGTCATCAACACAACAACATGATTAGCTAACCTATTCCACTGTACCACAGCCCACAACTAGAGGGATAAGACCAAATTCAGCCGTTAAAATATATTCTACAAGCAACCCAGAATAACGAACGCCAAGCACACAACTCATGCGTTTGTATCCAATCTAAAAATGACTCTGAAAAACGTCACAAAATAGCTTACTAAAAGAGGGAACGAACCAATAACATATAAGGTCCTTCTGGATAGGAATCACAAATTAAAGGTAAAAAGATGGGCACTTTTTAAACGAAAATGAAAAATCCAAATTTCCAAGTGACTTCTGGGGATCTAACATCCCCTACATTTCCTATTATCGGTTCAGGCGCTAATGCAAGCCAATCATAAGGCAACACTTTACATTTGGGGAGAGCGAATTGCATCCTAAACATACCTGCATTGTTGGTTAAGGTGACCAGAATGCTGCACTTTGTCAGCGTCTTTATTGACTATAATAATGCAACTGATGTCCATCTTCATCATTGTATTCATTAGTGTTTAAAGTATATAATATATTTATTCATTATGTGTAACAAAAAAACAACCACATTATATCTTAAATGTAATACACCCATCTTCGTTTATGATTGATGTAAGGGGGGTTATCTGTTTTAATCTGAAGTCAGCGAGACCATTAGTTGCTTTTAAATTTTTGAAGATATATTGTACTAGAATTTCTACTTCCATGAAATGACAGTAGTAGACTTTTTAAGTCATTACTGTCGTTTCTGAATCTTCAATTTCATTTTCTTGTCGTTAACCCTTCATCACTGGTTACATCATCAGTATATTATCTTTGGTCTCCTGAAACTGTACTTCTGTCTGCATACTATTGCTCATATTTCCTAACCCCATGTTTTATTGGACAAAGAACACCACTTACACAACCTCTAGTAAAACTTTAGAATTTCCTCTATATATGTCCTCGAAATAGGGTGATCATCTGAAACTTAATTCTAGAAGAATATGGCTATTCATTTCAACATTTCAATTGTACACTAAATCTAGTAATATCTGTTCTCATCATGTAGCTTTTTCTTAAAAATGGACTGTTTTTCCAAAAAATTAATTGCATATCATAACTAAAAAAACATCCTGGTCTGAAAAATACTATTTTTGAAAGGTATCATATCATACGCACGCACATGTACTTACTCACTGTTCTCACATTTTCCGGAGTTGAAGTAAACTATATAAAAAAAAGGAGAAAACAGAAGGAAGTAGGAAAGTCATAGGTTTATTGACATGAAAGAAAAATAAAACAAATTCTAAATTAGTGTCTACTTTGTTTTCAATTTTTGTATATCACACGTATTCAATGAAATATGGCTTTTTTGAAGTTTTATTGAAAAGTGGCTGTATATAGGTGGAGAGAGGGGGATTATTGGGTTAGTAAACTATTTGGGTTTACAATTTAAAACAACGTTGTTTATTATGAGCAAAGATGGATAGTGGTTAGTAGTGGAATCCAGTTTGACGCGCGTTTCGTCCCATTTGGGACTCGTCAGCTGAATGTACCTGCATCTCAGAGTTGATGTTCACTCTGAGACTCGAACCCAGTACCTTTCGCTCCAAACGCCATCGCTATATCGAGGCAATACGCACAGTATGCACATTTGCCAATAAGAGACTGACCAGTTGCAGTCCCAAACATCAATGGGAGAATTCAAAAAAACAATACTAAGTGAATTTAACGTTATATATTATTGTTAATGCAACCACTAATATGTATAATTTTATGCTGATTTGTACAATATTAGTTCTAACCATAATTTTATTTGTTCATTCTACTGTCTGTGTTATAGCTGTAACGGTAAAAAAATAGACTTGTATCTTGTCTATGGAAATTGTACTACTTTTTAGGGACAGAATAGTGTTATATGACTAATACTTGGAATAGAAAATCAAGTTTTACGCAACACAAAGCAAGATGATTAACACTCTTGACAAATACACGTTTTTCTCACCTTCTCGCAACACAATAACCATATATTATTCTCATAGTTGAAATAATGAGTCCATTGAAGCTAGACCACCCTAAAAATCCTGGAAGCACTGGATGGCCGTTTCGTCCTATTGTGGGACTCCTCAGCAGTGAGCATCCACGATTCCGCGTCGCGAGATTCGAACCGAGGACCTACCAGTCTATTGAATCTATCAATCAGGATACTTTGAAAATTTCTATTCATAGTAGTGTCACCTGAATAATCAACAGATAATTTTTGATTTGATTAGCCTATTGAGAAATAGTATTCAATTAAGGCTTTTGTGTACTGATCAGTTTAACAATTGATTGATTCATTAAATGAAATGACCAATCTTTTATTGCTGTCTAATTCTTTAATGCTGATCAATCCAGTTGTAATATAGTGATCAGACATCTCGTGCGCCATTCTAAAATGTTAGATGGTTCAAAGCAGTCTGTAAAATAAACTCTACCTGTTAGACGTTTCGTGCTAATTTTAACACTCACGGATTTGGAACCCACATAAAGTGTATCAGTTTCTTTAGGATTCCAAACACTTTTTTCCTAATAAATGGCAGCTAAAGGAAACCTACGTCAAACAGGGTTTCCTGCCGCCTATCTCCAAGCACCGAACAATAATGAGCTTTTATTATCTTCAGTTTTCTTAACCTAGTTATGTCGATGATCAATTGCTGTTTGCTTATCTTCACAAGCGCTTAAACAAAAAACAGTTTTCTTTGTGATTATCGCAGTTGCACAGTTGTGTGTGCATTGTATATACACTATTTTACAGTTTCAATAAATAAATGGATGTCATTGAAATATATAAAAAATTTCACACTTCAAAATAGTCTTTATTGTTTCACATCAATAATGCATACGTAGTAGGTTTCTTGAATAGGAATAATATAATTGTAAAATCTCACGCAAATGAATTTGAAGTAAATCCAACGTTTCGCCTGGCAATCTGGTCCAAGCTTTTTCAAGGAAATATTTCAATGTATTACATCAACACAGCGACTAAATACTGTGAAACTATTCGCTCTAATTTAGACGAAAGTTCTTATGTAGTAGGTTTCTGTTTGAAAATTTTTTGTCTACTACTCTATTACTCCCTCTCTTTCTTTACATCAATAATAATAATAATAATAATAATAATAATAATAATAATTCGTTATTTTCATTTAGACATATCCTCGTGCATTGATCCCTATAAGTGCTCAAGCCATCCCATCATTACATATCTGTTTGGATACAGTTATTGATGTATTTCGAATGAGTGGAGATTATAGCAAAATGGTAAGTTGCAATTTATTTTCTTTTAGCTTTTTTTATTTATTTAATTTTTTTGATAGTTCATTTCTATAATTTACAGTTGAATATTTAATTAAATAGAGTAGTACATATATATTGTTATATCTCAAACTTAGATTCTTAGTCTGTCGCGTAATACTTGAGCACTCGAACGCTACAACCCTCCCAAGTCACAGATCAGAAGACAAGTATAATGGATGTTATTCCAAACAGTGTCAATTATGGTACAAAACTGTCAGGTGTTTATAGTTTTTAGTAGAAACGAAATCATCATTATAGTTATCCAATCCGCACACAGGGGGTTATTAGCATAGTCCAATAGGAAAGCTACACGTAGTGATTCTAGAATATCCTTCCAAAGGCTGATTGGATGGAATATGTTCGGCTCCTTCTGGGCTTCTTTGAGCTTCCTCAACTTCACCTGTGAATCATCCTCACATATATACTATTTATAATCTAATCAGTTCATTTTATATTAGTTAATTATATTCATTTATTTACTCAAGTGGTTATGATCAGTGTTATCATTACTTATGATATTGATGAAATAAACATCAATAGTTTCCATATTGTCTCTTAGTTGATAGAAAATTATTTCCTTTCTAGTTATAGGAATCGAATAATATTGATTTAAATATCCGGTTTGGTTTGGTTTTCTTATTTAAATCAATGGGGAAAGAATTAAACAAACAACTGATGTTGTCAATCGTGTTTTGATTAAATTTTCAATAACATAGTTTAGTCGAATGGCTTTGATAAAGGGATATATGTATGGTTTAAAATACACTAATATGTTACTACGATGATGAGACTAGTCAGATCCAGGATTCATAACCTAGAATAAAGGTCTAAGTTAACACTAGATAATACTCTATTCAATACAGCTGCAAGTAGTCACACTCAGTGAGTCCGGAATAGAAATTAATAAGAGAAAAGAAAATCACATATTTAATAGTCAGTAGGCTAAGTACTTGTTTGTCTACGCTCAGTAACTAATCATAGTTTAATTTCATTACCGTATATCGTAAAGTTAGATATATTGTGATTAGAACATTGGAGACTAGAACGTGCTTTACTTTCTGTTCAGAAATCATCAATTGAATGTACCTATATTTCAGTATTAACGTTCACATTAGGACTTCAATCCGGTCAGTCACCTTTCATTTCGATCACTAACTCCTTATCCATTAAACTACCTATTGCAGATAGCCATCAACTTATTCAATGAGTATAATGTTTATTATTCATTATTAGTTAGGGTTTAAGGTGTGAGTACATCTAGCTGATGAATCCTAAATACGATGTGATTTGTATTCTGCCGTCCAATCCTCTGGTCAAAAACGGTCTGTTCTTTAAAAAAAACTTGCATCAAATTGGGTATATCAAGGCAATCCACAAAGTCTGCACAAATATGCTATCTCGGCCTTAACATTGATTAACTTCTACCAACTAAAAATGTAAAATGTTTCCACTAAACTAAGTACTATCAATATTTTTTTCTGTCCCATTGACTACTCTATGTTGAAATATTTCAAAAGCTATTTTCAGTAGTGGACACTTCAAGTGACTTTACACAAATTATTTTTCTCTTATAATGGGAAACACTTTCTTACTGAGAGGTAAATCCAGGAGTTCTAGTGAGAAGCAGTGACCAGTGGAGATCAAACCACGTCTATTGTGAGATAGGAACTCACTGAAAAAAATTGGTGAATGGTTGCTCAACTTCGTGGATTAGTTGAAGTTAGACATAAACACCATGGGATGCCGGCTCAATGGTCTATCGGTTAAGTGCTCTGGCGCGAGACTGATAGGTCCTGTGTTCGAATCTCGCGAGGCGAGTTCGTGCATGCGCACTGCTGAGGAGTCCCACAATAAGACGAAATGGCCATCCAGTGATTCCAGGTTTTCCCTGGTGGTCTAGTTCCAATTGACTCATGCTTTCAACTATAAAAAGCATGATATAATTGACGAATATCAGTTGGGTTTTTTTTCAATTCCACGGTTGTGTTCCTTTTTTTAAAAAATGATCCAGTCTGGATCAGAAGATGATAGAGAATTTTTTCTAGTTCCGGATGAGAATGTTGAAGGTGTTGTAGTCTCTATGATTAGATTACCAGCAGTTAAGTACCTAAAAATATGCCTAATTAATAGTGTCATTCACTGTTAAAGGTACCAGTTATAGGTGAACAACAAAACTCTTTCAAATTAATTCTCATTATTCAAAATGATGACGATTAAGACGAGAATATAAAGAGCTTCAGGCAGTATTTTTTATTTAAAAAAAACGAAATATACAACATATGAATTTAGAATTTTAAGTAAAATTAAATTGCCTATATAATTCACCAAGATTGTGAAATTAATAATCGGAATAATTATGATCGAATTAGAATAAAACAAATGATAGGTGGCGGGAAATGCCACTAGTAGGTGAATTTTGGTTTAATAATCTCAGATAGTACAAGTTCACCAGAGTTTCGAACAATAATCATTATTAAATGTTCGATAAGAAATTATACAAGTGAAATGAATGATATGAAATAGGTAAGAAATAGTAGAAAAAGAAAGTTAATTTAAATGGTAGACGGAAGTGAATTGTTCATTTGACGTATTATATAGGATAAGGTAAGCCAAAAAAGTTATTCAGATACATATAAGATGCAAATATTATGGGGGGAATTGTGATATATATATATATATATATATATATATATATATATATATATTATCAGAAGGGGGTTTTTGTGGAGACTTAGTATTTTCATAGTTGAAAGCGTGAGTCAATTGAAGCTAGACCACCAAGGAAAACCTGGAAGCACTGGACGGCCATTTCGTCCTATTGTGGGACTACTCAGCAGTGTGCATCCATGACAATCGGATGCCGGCTCAGTGGTCTATCGGTTAAGTGCTCTGGCGCGAGACTGGTAGGTCCTGTGTTCGAATCTCGCGAGGCGAGTTCGTGCATGCGCACTGCTGAGGGGTCCCACAATAGGACGAAACGGTCGTCCAGTGCTTCTAGGTTTTCCTTGATGGTCTAGCTTTAATTGACTTACTCTCTCAACTTTATATATATATTAGACGTATCAGATTGCCTTTTATATTGAGTAAAATTGTCCACTTATTAGTTCTGAAGCTGGTCAAAGTAATCGAAGAGGTTAAACCCCTTTTTTATGAAATTCAGAACTCAGGGCGTTTCTTTTTTACTTAAACACTTACTGCTTCTGTTGTTTGAGATGTCTTGAGATTAGACCACCTATTATGGCGTGTAACTTTTAACAGTAAAGGTTACTAAAAAATCATCGGTTATCGCTTATTTTGTGATCCGTTTGAACTGTATTGACTGAGATCGAACTATTCACGATTTTGACTGTAATGGGAATATAAATTCTTAGAATACTGGTCAATATAACTTACTCCGTTGAAACCTTTGTATTGATAAATTCAAAAAATGGATTTTTTTCGTTTATAAAGCTCTATGGTTTTTATTCAGAGTGACTTATGGATTAATCATTCGTACATCGCTGTCTTGTGTGTTGAATCGCCTGTTGGATTATTGTTATTACAAGGTGTTTTGTAGATTGTCGAATTCTTAGGTTTCACATTATGAATCAAATCGAGTTGGACGACCATTGAATACCAGAATACTCTACGCAACTGTTTAATCGTAGTATTAGACACCATACCTATGCATTACTCAACTAAGGATTAAATCCAAATACCTCCGCACCTCACGATGGACACTGAACCTTCAGATTATTTCAGTCAATTCGTGATACTGTACGATCATCATCCGTTTCCAAGATTAGCATAAGTACTTAAATAAATAGATAACTTCAGCCTAATTAAATAATCAAAATAACTTGATCTGTAATATTCATCTGTTACATCTATTAAACACACTTTGCATTTAATCATAACGTGCCACATAGATAAGTACAATACCGTTGTGATTGTATTAAAGTGTTTATTATTACCCTGTAATCCTCTGGATTCCAATCAGTCACTGTGTACATCAGATGGTTTGTTTCCTTAATGTATTTCTCACTGATAGACTAATCATTTTGGGTTATATAACGTTGATAATTGAATTTGGATAGAATTTTTTTTTGATTATATCAAAATAAACTCTGAATGTCAGTCTCAATCATCATCATCATCATCGTCTCTTTATATTTAATAACAGTATAAATAATAAATATGCCTTAATTTTAATGATCATCATCTAAAGTTGTAAATGAATGAATACTACTTGTCTATTCTTATGGATATTGTCGTAAATTCAGTAAGTGGGGGTTTTTGGGGGAGATGGAACTAAACAAAAATTCTTTTTAATGAAAAAAATCTTTCGTCTTTGTTATTGTTTCTTTTTTTGGTTATGCCCCACCCCCAAGTGTGTGTGTGTGTTTACGTATGTTTGTATAGAAAATTACCTTAAATTGTTTCATGCATCCTAAACATTTAATGTCAATGAGATCTGTTCATTGTAAACTTTTGAAAATTATATTTCTGTTTTGTTTTTGTCATTGTTGTCACTGATTTAAAGAAGAAGAAGAAGAAAAATAAACGGGAGATTCATCAAAGACTAGTTTTTGTACATTGTGTATGGTTAGATAAATAGATATATATGACAGTAAATTATTTATTTATATCTAGAATATGAAAATACTAATTCAGTTATTCAGTTTCAATAAACTTCCTTTAAGAAACCTTTATATATTCGAAATTTTCAGTGAGCAAATGTTGAGAGAGCTATTTAATTTCAAAGTTTACATTAAACACTCGTCTTAGCTAGATAATTACTGAGAATCATGAAATAGTGGATAGTTATTTTACCTCTGTGTGGGACTCTTCAGCTATCCACCTGTATGACCCCATGGGGAATCGAACTTAGGACCTTCAGGTCTTACAACAAGTGTCTGAATTTCTATTGATTGTTTTTACTTAATACTTGAGATATATATTTCTAATATTTTACTAAACGTCTT